AAACTAATTAAATCATTAGACCGAAAATTAAGAAAAGAAGCTCGAGAAGCCAATGTAGAGTTATTAAAAAATCAAGCATTAAATATTTTTATAAGTGGTCTTCTACCACAACTTCACATTTTACTGAAGTCTCAAAAACCTTCAACTTTTGAAGATGCAGTTTCAATTGCGATTTCTGAAGAACGAGAAATTAAATCCAGGCAAGAAATGAGCGTTAGACAAAATTATAATACAGGAATAAAAAGGTGTACGAACTGTAATAAGTTAGGCCATTTAGCTCACCACTGTAGAAATCAACCTATGATTAGACAAATGCATACTAATCACACAAATAATCACACAAATAATCACATACCTTCTTGTTGTAATTTTAAAAAAAAGGGCATATAGCCAAAGACTGCTGGAATAATCAGAATAATCGTTATAATCGTCCAAGCAATAGTTGGAACCATAATAATCGTAATAATAGGCAAACGAATAATACGAGTAGAAGCAACGAAAATAAGCCTTTTAAACACCAACGGTCCAAGGCCAGCGGCCAACCCGAGGACCACAAATTAGATTCGGGCCGAATAAGATTTATTGATACGCGTATTTCGTCATATGTAAAATTAGATTCCTTAAGTATATTAGAAAACGAAAATAAATTTCTAATTGATACAGGGCAGAAGTCACGTTGATAAAATTAAAGTCATTAGTAGAGCAAACATTGATATACGAAGATAGAAAAATTAAATTAAAGTGAATTGACAAAGACGCTAGTCCAACTGATACAATCGGATGTGTCCATTTGACATTTGATATAGGAGAAAAAAGAGTTAATTATACACTTCACGTGGTACCCGATAACTTTCCTATTCAATGCAATGGAGTTATAGGTTGCGATTTCTTGTCAAAGACAGACTCGATAATAAGTTATAAAGATAATAAAATCAGAATATGTGGTATAGAAATGGATATTGAGCATGAAGAAACTAAATATGTAAGTGAAGTTTTGAAAGGGAATAAAAGCGATGATACGTGTTATGAAGATTTAAAAAGTAATGTTTTCGAAAGCGATTGTGAAGTATATCTACAAATATTAAAAAATGTTAGAAGTATTGACAAAGAAGCATGTAAGAAAAATTGTGAAGTTTAGCCACAGGTATTAAAAAATGATAGGAGTTAGGAAAACAATAGATATGAAAGTATTTGTGAAGCTCATTCACAAAATCTTAATAACAAAACGAATGATGAAAATGAGTTTTTAGTTATAGAACCAAGATGTGAAAAGATAATTTCTATTTGTATAGAGAACCCCAATTTGAAAGAAGGAATAATATCAGAACCAATTAAGTTATTAGAAGGTGTTTATTTATGAGTATAGTCAAAGTTCAAGAGAACAAAGCGTTAACAGTGTGCTTGAATACGACAGATAAGGAAGTAAAAATAAATAAGTTGTTTGTGAAGTTAGAGTCATTAGTTAATGAACAAGAAGTGAATGAGATAATTAACGTAAACAAAATTAAGAATGAGGAAATGTGTAAAGGAAATCGTTTAGATAAACTAAATGAGACTCTACGTACCGATCATTTAAACAGGGAAGAAAAAGAGTCATTAATAGAATTATGTAGAGAATATAATCATATATTTCATTTAGAAGGAGATTCATTAACGTCAACAAATACGGTAATGCATGAAATACCTACGAATAATAACGTGCCTATAAACACAAAGTCTTATAGGTATCCAGAAGCTTTAAAAGAAGAAGTTAACGAACAGATTAGTAAGTTGTTAAAAGATAAAATAATTGAACCATCTAGTAGTCCATGGAATTCACCAGTATGGGTAGTCCCTAAGAAAATAGATGCATCAGGCAGAAAGAAGTGGCGGCTTGTGATAGATTATAGGAAATTAAACGAAATAAGTATAGGTGATGTCTATCCACTACCTGAGATAAGCGACATATTAGATCAGTTAGGTCATAGTAAATATTTTACAACCTCAGACTTAGCGTCGGGTTTTCATCAGATTAAAATGAGTCCGAAGGATTAAGCTAAAACAGCCTTCAGTGTTCCTTTAGGTCATTATGAGTACACTAGATTGTCATTTGGATTAAAAAATGCACCTGCAACCTTCCAGAGATTAATGAACAACGTTTTAGTAGGGTTACAAGGAATTAAATGTTTTGTACATCTTGATGACATTGTTATTTACGGAAATTCATTACAAGATCACAATTTGAAATTAAAAGAAGTTTTCGAACGATTGTCATAACATAAATTAAAACTCCAGCCGGATAAATGCGAATTTTCGAAAACTGAAGTCATGTATTTAGGTCATTTGATTACGCAGTACGGTGTAAAACCAGATCCAAAGAAAATAGAGTCAGTAAAAAATTATCCAGCACCAAAGAATCTAAAGGATATCAAGAGCTTTTTAGGATTAGCTGGCTATTATAGAAGATTTATTGAAAACTTTAGTAAACTTAGTCAACCTTTAACGAAACTTTTAAAGAAAGATGAACCTTTTATTTGAACAAGCACAAGTAAGTAGAATATTGAACAAAGGTGAAACAAATTATTCAACAACGGAAAAAGAGTTATTGGCAATCGTATGGTCTGTAAAATATTTTAGACCATATCTATATGGACGTAAGTTCAGAATTATAACTGATCACAAACCTTTAACTTGGTTAATGAATGTTAAAGATCCTGGATCTAGATTAGTTAGGTGGAGACTCTTATTAGAGGATTATGATTATGAGATTGTTTATAACCTCTTGGGAACCAGAGTATCATATTTGATACTTGAATTAAAAACTTCGTGAAAGCGTCATTTGTTATATTTTCCTATTTTTTTTTTATTTAAGCCATAGAGTAGACCTTTAATGATTTATAACTACAATTTTCGTACTTCAAAGTGCTTAAAGTTTAAGTGGGTAGGACAGTTATTTTTCAAAAATTCAAAGTTTTCGCCATGTCAACTTTACGTAAGGGTAAGTAATTATTAAATTATGGATTCCTAAGTAATTTACTATTGTTTATAAAGGTTAAGCTCTCTTCTTTGGATTTTCCGTAAGTAAATAACGTAAAATTTTATTTTAACGTGAATATCATACGATAAATTGAGCATATCAAATGTGATACTTTGGGCACTATTGGAAATAATATTCACCATTTACAATGATTTCCGGTATATCTGACGAAACAATTCCCCTTGAATTATTGGACTCCGACGTCTCCATGATGAAAAGAAGGACTCTGACGTGGACGAGGATGGCATACAGGACCAGGATATAGATAAGATTGAGGAACAGCTAAGTTTGCAGGAACCAAATAGTGATTAAGATTCCTCTGATGATGAGCCGCTTCAACTACTGCCCCGTTTAACGAGGCATATTTCTACAGGTAGGCTAGTAATTTGGAAGCATACAACTGATTTTAAAGCCATTTTTAACGCATTCACATGAGGTGCAGTGAAAATCTCTCAGAGAACAACCTGAAGCCTGATATCTAAAAAGATATTGGAATATTTTGAGTGGTACTTGAATGCTGAATTCTTTACAAACATGGATTTTTGTCCAAATGTCATGTCCTTTGTGCGCACAGAAAAATCTGTGAACTCTGCTGCTGCAGAAATTTAACGTTTTTTGGGAGTAGTATGGTTACTGGACTGTTAGGTATGCCAAGGATAAAACAATTCTGGCCTTTAGAAACTAGTGCGACTTAATGGCACCTGCAATGACTAAAAGACGTTATACTGAGATTCGTTCGTACTTAAAAGTCGTAAATGAAGCTGATGTTTTAGAATCTACGCAATCTAACGACTGCTTCTGGAAAATACGATCAATAGTTTTAGAGATTGAGAGAGCGTGCCGTAAAAATGTTCGCGACAAAAATGTCTCCATCGATAAGCAGATCTTACCTTACACAAAAAGATGGGTCAAAAAACAACTGGTGAAAGGTAAACCAAACCCAGAAGGAATAAAACTTTATATCGCAGTGAATTCTGACGATTTACCATTGGATTTATACCTAAAGGTCTAGTAATATCTAAAGTAAAGGTAAAGTGGAATCGGCTTTGTACCCAACACCTGAACAATTAGCAAGATAGTAGGATACCATTCCAGTAGGCACTTCAATTTACATGGATTTTACCTCTTCACCACTTTTGGATATCGTAAGAGAAAGAATATGTAACGGAACGGCCATTTTAATGAAAAATAAGGTACCGAAGGTTGTGTAGCTTTGACTTTTATATGTTAGGCGGGTGATGTATATTTATTATTTATGTTTTAATTTCACTAGGAATTGTTATAAAACTTTTCATCAGCATTAAATGTAAAAATTATACTGATTTAAAAAAAAACTAACATTGAAATAAAATAGTTTTTTTTCTTATGTCTCCCAAAGTATCATATTTGATACCACCTGAAAATCCTGAAATAGATATTTGTGTAACATTTAATTGATAGTTTTGCATTAGTGTAACGTCAATTAGCCCAGTTAATAGAAAAACGCTGCTTAAATTCAATAATTTATAGTTCGGGTCCCAGGAGGATAAACAAGGAAAATTGAATCAAAACGCAGACGCGCTAAGTAGAATAAAACCAGATAATGAAAATATTGAGAACGTTATCAAGGTAAATAGTGTAACAAGAAACTGAGAAAGTTGTTCATCATTTTTAAAAGAAATGGAGAGAAAACCAATATTGTACAATAAATTAGAAGATACCAAATCATGTTGTACTCGAATCACTAACTGTATTACATTGAAAGTTAATAACTCTGATAACAGGTATATAGAGTTAGAAGAAATACCTTCTACGTCAAACACACCAGATATACCATTAAGACGTAGCGCTAGAGTCGCTCAATTAAAAATAATATACACAATACAATAACAAATGCGACTCACTTGGAACGCTTCTCGTTACTCGTTGTATGCTGCGGAGTCCTTCTCGATCTCGTAGCGTCGTCGAGGTGATAGCGTGAATGCCATTGAAGAACTGGCTGCTACTGGCGGTACTGTCGTATTTCCAGCGATGAACCACGGTCGCTCAACTCCTCGTGCTTGAACCTCGTTGATTCTTGAGACTCACTGTGTCCTTTGTTGACGTACAATCGTCGAGGGTTAAGTGCCTCGCCTGGTTGATTTCCGGTCCCTTCACGTTGTATTTCAGTATGTATGTACGAGTACACACATCGAAGACTAAAAACCATGCTGCTCCAGTACGTAGTTGTATGTAGATGATCCGGAGACTATCTGACCAAACTATTCTTTATTTTGTCAGGACAAAAGAACTCTAATATTTCAAAAGTGCCTTAGAATCCCACTTTTGACACCAAAAATGTAATGTTCGGTGGTCAGAAGGGGCCTTGAAAATAACAACCACGCAGTGTCACGAATTATTTAATAATATTTATTATTATTGACACTTAAAACGAAAAGAACTTTACTAGAACTGTCGATTAAGACTCTCGATTAGGACTGTCGATCAGGACTGACTGTTACAATCGGGTGGAGGAGTATTTAAGTTATTCTTAATTATTATACAAACATCGTTAATGCATTGTTAGAATGAATGCTAAACTTTGGGAAAAGTAAAAAATTAATGATCACAACAACATCCTTATATAGCTGTTAGTGTAAACAAACCATTAGACTCTATTCTGGTAATTAGTTATCTCTATGAATAATAATTTAATTTCGAAAACAACATGTACTTACAAATATTATATAAAAATCTACTTGAAATATTATGAAATATTACAAGTTAACAGTGGTAGCGATAAGCAAATTAAGATAAAAGAATATAAAGTGAGATCTATACGACCAAGATAGATAAGTATAGTACGTTGTATACGAGTATAATATAACAAGTGCCGGGAATTGCCATTTTACATTCAATAGCTTGAATATTAAAATACTATATTCTCAAATATCATATAGCCGCTGTCGTAACACGTCTACGTTTCTATATATTAGATTGCGGTTTCTCTACGTGATACCCGATTAAATTCTCTAAAGTTAAGCAAAGAATTTTAATAGGAAAGAAATTGTGGAGCGGTTCGTGGCAAGTCAAAGCTGTCTGAAAACTCCTAACAATACTCATTATATTCTTGCTTGTCTAAGTTCCAGTATAACCGCCTTTGCTGTTTAAATAACGATCTTTTAAATTATTCATTCCTTTAAATAAAGATCAAATTATTTCTCATCGAAAGACAAACTTCAAGTTCTTGCTATTCAGAGTCATTTCGATGGACGAGAGGCATGAATGAGCCATCTGGAAGACAACATAATTGCTTTGCCTTAAGATAAGTGATCTTTCTTTGCTTGTTTAGCCAACCTTGGGGCTTGACATGTGTCGTAAATTAATACTATTATGTAGCATTTATAAATGTCGGGAATTCCTTTATTGTTGCATTTTTTAATTAATTGTACCGACAGTGTGTTTAGTAATTACGTATTATAATTAAAATTTAAGATTCGTTAGATTTTTTTTTTGTTTATGCATTTTTATTGTAAATTTTCACTATAATATTAATTGTATTAACTAAAATAAACTAAGTGTACTATAGATATCGAATTTTCTACTATATCTCAATATTCATATAAAATTAGATAATTTGTAGTTTTATACATATGTACATCCATACAAAACTTTATAGACACATACCTACATACATATATTGCGGTATAAGAAGGTTGACATTACATTTACATATGTTATGTAAATCCAATACATTGAATATTACCAAATATGCTAACACCAATCATTGTCTATCAATAACTTCAGAAATCGCGATATCTTACAGAGAAAAGAAGATTCGGTGTAATAAAAAGCTTTACGCGCTCCTTATGTGATCCTCGAGCCTAGTATTTTTGAGAGAATGTTTTACTAAATTGACGTTGAACATGGGATTATACGTTCTTTTGATATTGTAATCTGGGTACCCTCTAGCAATAATCGATTATATTAAACAGGCGAAATTGAGAGGAAAACCCTTCTATCTACGGTGACTTGAGAGGATTCTTTATGTTTAAAATGCCCCAATTTTCGTACCTTTAAACTATGTTGTTAAAAGTTATGAATAAAATGATATAAAAATAGAATGAGCATTTACAGCTGAAAATATAAAAATATTTTATGTACCCTTATTTTTGGACCCAGCACAGTAGAAATTCACTATGTAGATTTTGACATTTCGTAATAACGTTGCTGAGACAAAAATTTGATTAGAGTACAGATTATTAAGTTTTATAATACATATTATATTAGTTAAACTTACAAATTCTAGGGCAGTACCCTGCTATAATATTATAATTTTCGATATTGCATATTTTAAGTACGTTTATTGGTTTCTTATGGTGATCTTCAAATCTAGCCTTAGAAATAGAAAATATTTTTTCAATATTGAACATAAAAATAAACACCCTTTTACCACGAGTCAGCAATATAACTTTCCAAACCATATCTACTTCACAGAAGCTAAGTCGAAGATATCTATTAAAATATTCAGATTTTACCCTGCCATAGATTGGGAAAGTGTCAAAACCCAACGGCGTCCATACCATCTTCCCGACGATCGTACTTCGGGGTTATATTAGTTTTCGATATCAAATCATTATAATAAGAATACGTTCTGGGTTTGGATTATATTTTGCAGGTACGGTGACCTTGCTATCAAGATTTTATATAAGACGTACATAGTAAAATATTTTTATATATTATGAATTTGGTTTAGTATGATATATGATATTTTTAAACGATACATGCCATGTACTCCCAGACGTGAGTACTCACAAATACACAGACCCAAACTTATTTATAATGGCATAAATAATTAAAGGCATATAATAAATTTAATTTGCGCACAATTATGTTATGAAATACGAGGTATTATAATTAAAGGTGGATTTATCTCTATAGTATAATCTATGTATTATACGACGTGTTTAGTATTGTATCTTGGGTATTGCCTTCATCTAAGCCATCCTTTACCTAGGCAGTGCTTTGTGCTAAATGGATAATGGTTATGTATCACAGCATTAGTAAGTTAAATTATTCATGGCGCTACTCGAGTGTATTGTCCTATCTAATTGCTTTGATACACTTAGAGCCGAAAGTACTATATATTGTTAAGTATGTCAATGTCCTCTTTAGAATAAATTGTAATCTTTGTTACATGAAGAGCATCTTTTTGCTTTTTTATACTCTCGTTTCAAGCTTAAGAACAAAACGTTAAATTTGCTACCATTGAATTTTTAAAATAACATCTTTCTTACAAGTCAAATATATACGAGTACTACCATAATAATAATTTAAATATACCTTGACATCTTGTAATGACATCAAGATTGTGGGATGCCTAGTCAACATTTTATATGCTACTAGCTACTCGCAACTCGGACTCGTCCCTAGGTACCTTTTAATTTTTTTGAGCGGAACCAAAACTCTTTTTCTAAAATAAAATTAGCCTTTGTTACTCCCTATAACATCAGTCCCGTCAAAATCAGTCCAGCCGTGTCAGAGATTACCCGGCTTAAACAGACTGACAGACAAAAATAAAAAAAAGTGTTTTTCTTATAAGTACCGCATATAATTTCATATGCATTAAGTAAAATGCTGTTATTTTGCCATTACAAACACACACTACAATTTTATTTATCTGTATAGATGTATAGATTTAGTGAATTGCGGGGAAGAATCCTAAAACAGGTAAGAATTCTCACATAAATCCGTCCTACAGTCTTTGATAGCCTAAAAGAGTAGGAGAAAATATTAATAATGTCGCTAAAACAAAAATACTTTGTTCCAACGGGCGAACATACAGAATCCCTAATAAGAGAGGCTTATGGAGAATAACATCTGGGGCTCGGATGGTAAACACTTGGCAGTAAACACGAGGTTACTGTAAGAAAAATGTTTTTGTTACACGAAGCTTTCTTATATTTTATAGTATTTTATGTAATGTCACAATGCCTCGAGCATTATTGTTTTCATTTTTTCAAACTCACATTGTCTTTTTAGTACACTTCATCATTTAGGTTTGTGTTATTTTATATATCCTTTTTACTATACGTACGAAGAAGATAAGTGTAAGGGAGACAGCAATACAATATTTTTTTGTCTGTCACAATTTATGAAATGGAACCATTATCATTTACAAAGATAACATGATATGAATGATATTTTAAATTCATCATGTTATGATTTTATATTTTACTAGCCAACCCAAAAACCAAATTCTTAGGATTTACATATTAGTATACTCTTAAAGGCAGTGGTAGCCCAGTGGTGACGCGCTCGCATGGGTAACCGAGTGAAGCGGGTTCAAATCCCGGGTCTCGCACCTCTGATATTTTCATGTGCGAATCATTTTCAACATGATTACCACTTGCGGTGAAGGATAACATTGTGAGGAAACCTGCATGTCTGAGAGAACTTAGTAAGTTTTCGAAAGACATGTGAAGTTTGCCAACCCGCACTTGGCCAGCGTGGTGGACTATGGCCTGATCCCCCTCTTATTGAAGGGAGGCCCGTGCTCAGTAGTGGGACGCGTTAATAAGGCCTGAACACACATACTCTTACATTGCAGTTTTTGTATTTTTTCTCAGAAATGAGATATTTTCCCGCGGTAAAAAGTATCCTATATGTTGACCCAGATAACCAGCAATCACCATACCACATTTCATCAAAAACCCTCCAGTGGTTTTTCCGTGATGCGGTAACAGACAGTCAAAAATTCTAAAAACTATGGATTCGGCCTCTATATCTATAATAATGTCTATTTCAATAATATTTTCCAAAAAATATTTAATGTACAGATTCGGCTTAGTTGGAATTTTATTATATGTATAGATTAGGTAAAAGCTGTATTAAACCTTCAAAATAACTTAACAATTTATTTCTTAAAATAAACTTTATCCAGACGCAACAGAGCCTTATATTGGAATGAATCATGTTGCAAAATTGGCATTGGCTATAAATATTGATTTTAGTCTATAGATAATGCTAATCAAAGGACCTATAGCCAATAACGTAATCGGTCATTAGTACATTTACTGCTAAGTCATACCTACTGTAATCTGCTGTGATTTCCAAAAACAAGTCTAGGGAAATGTAGTTATCGCCAAAAGGGCCTTTCTTATAGTTTGTTGATAAGTATGAGAAAAACTCTAGATGTTTAAATTCCCATATCGTAAGAAACTCGTAAAA